ATGGATGTGAAGAATGCCTTTCTTAATGGTGATTTGGAAGAGGAGGTTTATATGAAATCGCCTCCTAGACTTACTCATCCTCTGAATAAGGTATGTCGATTGCGATGAGCCTTACATGGTTTAAAGCAGTCTCCTCAAGCTTGGTTTGCTAAATTCAGTTCTATGGTAAGTGAGTTTGGTTTCACATCTGGTCCACATAATACTGCTTTATTTGTTTGTAAATTTGCTCAGGGAATGGTTTTCTTACTCATATATGTTGATGATATGATTATCACTCGAGATGATGTTTCAGGGATTGTTGAGCTTAAGCAATTTCTCAACCACAGATTTGAGATGAAAAACCTTGGCTCTTTGAGTTATTTTTTAGGACTTGAAGTTACATCCTCAGATGATGGCTATCTTCCCTCTCGTGTGAAATATGCATCAGATCTCATATCTAAAGCAAGTCTCACTGATAGCAAGATTGTTTCCACACCTCTTGAACCAAACGTCAAACTCACATCATTAGATCCACTTCCTGACCCTACTCGTTATCAACAGTTGGTTGGGAGTTTGGTTTATCTTACTACAACAAGTCTAGACATAGCATATGTAGTTCATGTTATTAGTCAGTTTATGGCTGCTCCCTATTCCACTCATTATGTTGTTGTACTTCCTATTATTCGTCATGTTAAGGGAACACTATTTCATGGACTTCACTTCTCAACTCATTCCTCTCTTATACTTCGTGCATATTCAGACGCTGACTGGGTTGGTGATCTTACAAATTGAAGATCCACTACTGGCTATTGTCTCTTTCTTGGTAACTCTCTTATTTCATGGCGTAGTAAGAGACAAGCTATTCCATCTCGCTCTAGTACTGAGGTTGAATACAGAGCTTTGGGTGACACCACTTCAGAACTTATTTCCCTACGATGGCTCTTGGAGGAAATGGGTGTTTCCCAGCCATCTTCTACTTATCTTTACTGTTACAATTAAAGTGCTATGCAAATTGCTCACAATGATGTTTTCCATGAACACCCAAAACATATTGAGGTCAATTGTCATTTTATTCGATATCATATTGCCAAAGGAACTATCCATCTAGTATTTATTGGCTTTGCTAATAAGCCTGTGGATCTATTCACTAAGGCTCATTTTCTTGGATGCCTCCACACTCTTCTTTCCAAACTCAAGCTGATCTCCTCATCACCACCTTGAGTTTGAAGGGGATATTATGGAATATTCTCCCTTGATTATGTTCACATTGCTATGATTATATTCACATTATATTTGATTTACATAATTAGATTAATTGATTTTATACTACAGAATATTCTCTTGTACATGCCTATAAATAGGCACTTTGTATATTCAAATGAATCAAGAAAAAGTATCATTTTTCTTTATATTTTTCTCTCCTACCTTGTTTTCTCACATATACAATTCTAATTTATTTCTTTATCAATAACTCATTTTGTCCTTACATCAGACTTTATAAATCAGATGATTGATGCACCCAATATTTTAATTAATATCAAAATTTCAATCACGGTAATGCTATGAAAATATCTCCCTTCTTCTTATTCCAAACTGTAACCGTTAAAAAAAAAAAAAAATCATTTTGCCCCTTCTAAACCCTTTCTTCTAGCCCTGTCACTGGCACGCTCATTGAGACCAAAAACACAACCAAAGCAGAATACATGCCCCACCGGTAGAACTAGGGAGTCCCATAGTCCCAGACTTTTTAACTTTTAAAAAATCATTAATACAATACAGTTCACTAAAATTTTTATTTTTATTATTTTAACTTTAAATTTTTATTTATTTTATACAATTTTAATCTATCTATTATTTTGTTAATAATTTTATTTTGCCCGTCCTAATATTCTTTTCTAAATCCGCCACTAGCGCACACCACGAGACCAAGAACACAACCAGAGCAGAGCTAATTCCCTGCACAACCATATTATTGTCCCCAAGACTTTGGCCTTCCCTGCTGTTGCTCCAAGCTTTAATGTCTCCAATCTGTGACCGTGATGAAATTTAGGACGTATGTATCTTGGTAAGTTTTAGAACTAAATAGTAAGATATCAAGGGTATCGCATGTTGAATATACTTAAAAGAATCCGCATTTAATGATTAAAATATTAATTATTAAGATTTTACTTTTCATCACAAGTTAGAATCAATGTTTTAAAAATTGGATCAGACTAGCCGGTTGAACCGATTAGACCGATACTCGGTATAATAAACAGTTTAGGTCAAGATTTAAAATCGATAAAGTAGTTGAATCGTTCAAAACCAATAAAATCATTTGGACTGATACAAACCGTTAAACTGTTGAACTAGACGGTTTAAATCTTTTGGAAAATTTCCCTCAAAGTTGCCACCTCCGGGTTCGAACACGAGACTTAAAGGGGATTTTCAATCACTTTTGCCACTGGGGACAACTCCTCTTTGACAGAAAGAAGTGGCTTAAAATTTTATTTATTTTATTTTTAGGAAGAAAAGAATTGCATGGCTGAATCGAACTTCCTTCTCTTC